CAGCGTCTGGGTCATCTCCTTGGTCATCATGTATGATATTACAATATGTTTATATCTTCTGCTTGAAGACAATCATTCTCTCTCTCTCTGTCTCTCTCTCTCTCTCTCTTTCATCTATTGGGAGAAAGTCATATATCTGTATCTCTCTCTATCACTGCATTAGTTCTACTCATCTACTCATATTCCTAAAGGCCTTTATAATGTGACAGTATTTATGTGGCGTTTCTTTGATAAACACATAGGACCTCACATCATGTCTGTGTCTACCTCATTTGTTTGAAAACCATGAGTGACATTGTGCTATATCTGCACTGCCTTCTTGATCAACAAATATGGTGCTATAGTGTGTCTTCATCATCTTTATAACTCTGTATGATCTTGGAACCTGGTCTTTTCCCTGATCCTGTACTGAGGATTATCCTATATTTTGGGTCATTTCTCTGACCATAATGTATGATGCCATAATATGTCTGCATCATAAACTTCATAACCATGGATGGTGCTATAATACTATATGCACCATCTCCTTAATATCCACATATGATGCTACACTGTGTGTACCAAATATACTATGTGTACCAAATCTCCTTTACTACCATTGATGACCTATGTTATTTGTCACCACTTTGATTACTACTTATGATTCTACACTGAGCCATCATATTGATATCCACATATGATGCCACTCTGTGTCATCTCTTTGAAAACTATGTGTGATGTTACACTCTGTGCTCCTTACATATGACATTACAGTAGATTATGTCATCTTCCTTATGCCCACATTTGGCATCATACTGTCTACCTCATCTCACTGATGATCACTTATGAGGATATGTGATGTCTGTTTCACCATCTGCATTAACATATATTGTGCTACATCTTATCAGAGTCATCACCTTGAAAACCACCTATGATGCTACATGTTTTCATCACCATCTTAAAATTTTTGTTGGGTTCAATACGATGTCTGTCTTAGATTATGTTGCACTAATGTATACCATCCATTTGCCAATCACATGATATGTTTGTGTCATTGATAATTATATATAATTCTAGGCTATAGGCCACCATGACAACCACGTATCATCCTATATTATGTCTGTGTCATCTTTTAATTTATTTACCACCTATGCTGTTACATTATGCCTTTTTCACCTTGAGAGCCACGTATGATACCTCTGTACTATGGCTAAACTCCCTGATGACAGTAATGCTACATAGTGTTCGCATCACACTCGACAAAAACGTATGGTGCCACACTGTCTGCATCATAATTTTATTAAGTATGTGTTATGATATAGTATTTCTGTAGCACATTAGATAAATATATGATGCTCTGCTTTTATTCATGTCTTGTAGTAATGTAAACTATATATGCATCCTTTCCTTGATGATGATATATGATGCTACACTATGATTTTATTATTTCTGCAGTATTCTCAAATGGTGATCTATTATGGATCATCTTTTTGATGGTAATGTATGGTGTTACTCTATGTACATGTCATCAACTTAGTACCATATATATGCTATTCTCTGTTTGCCTCTTTTTCTTGCTATCCATAAAGTACGCTATTTTATAGATCAGTTTCCTGATGACCATGTTTGATGCTGCGAGATGTCTGCATTATCCCTTTGAACACCAGTGGGATTAATACTATAACTACGTCTTTTCTGTGATGAACCTGTGTGTTGCTAACCATAACCTCTGAAAATCATCTCCTTGAGAATGATGTGCGATGCTATAACATATCCTGTCTGTAGTAAGTCCTATGATACCAGACTGTATTTGGGTCCTCTTAATAAAACTTTATGTACGTACTATGTTTCATCTCACTACTCCCAGTTAGTATGCTACAATATAATTGTCTCTGTCAATCATATGTGATGCTATCTTATGTGTGAGATCCTTAATAACTATAACCACATACAATGTTACACTATTGTCTATATCATGTCCTTAAAAACTCCTTATGATATTATGTTGTAGTTTATCTCATTTAGGACAGTTTACAATACTACAATGTTTGCGCCATCACCTTGAAAGTTACATAGGATTATACATTATATCTGCATATTTTCACAATAACTGTTTTACCAGTCACATATTTCTAGTAAACATTTGTGATATTTAAATCTTTGTGATTTCCCTGACAGCCATGTATGATGTAACATTATGTCTTACTTGTCTTACTGAGGCCCTGTATGATTATATACTATATCTGTGCAATTACCCTGAAAACAATATACTGCCACACTATATCTAATAATGTAATCATCTCCTTGACAACCACTTACGGTTGTATACTAGGTCTCTATTGTTTTTAACAACAATCAATAAATTTATACTACATTTACATCAATTTTAAAATAATGATATATGATATGCGTAATATCACTGATGACAGTATTTGATGCCTCAAGATGTCTGTGTCATCACCTTGAAAACTATATATGGTGCAACACTATATATGCAAAATCTGCTTGAGAAGTACATATGGTGCGGTTATGACTGCGTTATCTCTTTGTTGGCTAGGTATGATGTTTAAGCCAAGGTTGTTCTCGTTGATAATCACATATTATCAATGTCAATGTGCATGCCATCTACTTGGAAACCAAGTATGATGCTATACTATTTCTCTGTCATCTCCTTGATAACCTCATAGAGTGCTATATTATTTTGCATAATCTTCTAGACAATTACACATGATAATCATGGATGTGTCATATCCATGATGGTCATGTATACTATATTATGTGGGTATCATCTTTCTGTAGTCCACATATGACCCTACACTGTGTCTCCATTATTTTCTTGATGGTCATATATGATGCTACACTATGTCTTTTTCATCTACTTAACAATGATCACACATCAGGCTATACTATGTCTGCATTATCTCCTTTAAATCTTCACATGATGTACAGCATGTCTATATTAACATTCTGACTTCTGTGTAGGAAACTACTATACATCTGGATAATCTTATCATGTACAATGCTACACTGTGCATGTGTCATCTCCGTGGTTCTGACCTATGTCTGTATAATCTCCTCGTCAACAATGTGTGACACTGCACCATATCTGCTTTATCTGCCTGATAACTACATTTGACCCTGTACTATGTTTGTGTCATCTCTCTGACCATATGTGACACTAAGCTATGTCTGTGTCATCTCCCTCATGACCATGCATGACACTACTCTATGTCTATATCATCTCTGTGTTGACCACATATGACACTATGTTATATCTGTGTCACCCCTGTGATATGTGTCATGCTGCATTATGACCATGTCATTGCTTGACAACCATACATTATGTCTACACCATCATCTCTTTGAAAGGTACATATGCCTGTCTGATTCCTCTGGTGACTACATTCTTCTGATTCTTCTGATTCCTCTGGTGACTACATGTGGTGGCTCTACATTGTGTCAGCATAAACTGCTTGATATTTAAGAGATTCTGGAAGTTCATCCATCCATTGACAGACAATTTAAGTTCTTTATATATCTTGGTTACTATGACTAATACTGCAATGAGTATTGGGGTGCAGATATCGCCTCAAGATACTGAGTTTATTTTCTTTGGATGTGTACCCAGTAGAGGGATTGCTGGGTGGTATGGTAGCTCTATTTTAATTTTTTTGAGGAGCCTTCATACTGTTTTCCATACGGCTATACCAATTAGCATTCCCACTAGCAGCATTCAGGGGTTTCTTTTTCTCTACACTTTTGCTAACATTTTAAAATCTTTTGTCTTTTTGACAATAACCATCCTAAGTGTAGGGTGGTATCTCATGTGGTTTTGATATGCATTTTTCTAATGATTAGTGAAATGAGCACCTTTTCATATGTATCTGTTGGCCAGTAGTATGTCTTCTTTGGAAAAGTATATTCAGGTTCTTTGCCTATTTTTATTTTTATTTTTCTATTGAGTTGTGTGAACTGTATTTAGGAAGTTAACTGCTTATCACATATGTGATTTGTAAACATTTTCTCCCATTTCATGGGTTGCCTTTTCATTTTTAAAATTATTTCCTTGGCTGTGCAGTAGCCTTTACTTTCATGTGGTCCCATTTGTTTATTTTTGGTTTTGTTGCCTGTGCTTTTGGCGTCACGTCCAAAAAAATCATTGCCAAGACCAATGTCAAGGTGGCTTTTATATTGTCTTCTAGAAGTTATACAGTTTTGTATCTTGTGTTCATCTTTAATTTATTTAGGGTTAATTTTCGCAAATGGTGTAATATTCTTCAGCATGTGGCTATCCAGTTTCCCCAGCATCATTTAATAAAGAGATTTTCCTTTCCCCACTGTGTATTTTTGTTGCCTTTGTTAAAGAATAGTTGGCCAAATATGTGTGAGTTCATTTCTAGGCTTTCTGTTGGTCTACGTGTCTGTTTTTATGCCAGTAGTATTTTGATTACTATAGCTTTGTAGTATAGCCAAGATATGGGAACAGCCAAAGTGTTCATCGACAGATAAATGGATAAAGAAATGTGAGATATATATACATATGTATATAAATTTATATATATAAATATAATTTATAATTATATATAATTATATTTATATATAAATATAATTTATTTTATTATAATAAATAATTTACTATATATTATATATAATAAAATATAATAAATATAATATAATATAATATATAATAATATATAATTTATTATATTAATATTTATATATATAATTAATATATGTTATAATATATATTATAATTATATATAAAATATATATACATATAAAAAATTATATTTATATATATTTATACATATATAAATTATATTTATATATATTTTTATATATATATAAATAAATTTATATATATATAAATTAAAAATAGGCAAAGAACCTAAATAGACTTTTCCGAAGAAGACATACTAGTGGCCAACAGGTACATGTGAAAAGGTGCTCATTTCACTAATATAATAATAATATATATATAATATAGCATATATATACATAGTAAAATATTTTTATTTTAGCCATAAAAGAAGAAACATTGCCATTTGTGACAATATGGATGAACCTGGAGGATTTACATAAAATAAACCAGACACGAAAGGACAAAATACTGTATGATATGTATGATATAGTTTGATGTGAAATCTAAAAAAGTTGAACTCATGAAGATGGAGTTGGAGCATGGCTACTAGGGGTCAAGGGGTGTGAAAAAATGGGGAGATGTTGGTCAAAGGGTACAAACTTTAAGTTGTAAGAAGAACAGGTTCTGAGGATCTAAGATATAGCATGGGTGGTGGTGGATGTGCTAATTAACTTGATTTTGATGTCATTACACACTGTATATAAAATCATCATACTGTACAATTTGAATATATATAATTTTTGTTTGTCAATAATAAAAATGTAAAATAGAACTTATAAGAAGACTTTTTTAAGACAGCAGTTCTCCTTTTTTATTCAATTAATAATTGCGTAACTTTATTCCCTGTATGCCTCAAAATCTCTAATAAAGATTATATTTGCTGAGTAGACAAACTCAAAGTTGTAGAACCTAGATATGTGATTTGCTGGCTGAGGGATTATGAGCAAGGATTTTATTTTTACTTATTAATTTTTAATTTTACTTTAAGTTCTAGGATACATGTGCAGAATGTGCAGGTTTGTTGCATAGGTACACATGTACCATCATGGTTTGCTGCACCTATCAACCCATCATCTAGGTTTTAAGCACCTCATGCATTAGGTATTTGCCCTAATGCTCTCCCTCCCCTTACCCTCCACTCCTGGACAGGGCCTGGTTTGTGATGTTTCCTTCCCTGTGTCCGTGTGTTCTCATTGTTCAACTCCCACTTATGAGTGAGAACATGCAGTGTTTGATTTTCTGTCCCGTGTTAGTTTGCCGAGAATGATGGCTTCCAGCTTTTTTCATCCATGTCCATGCAAAATCATGAACTAATTCGTTTTTATGGCTGCAAGGAAATTCTTCTATAAAAAAATTCTGGCAAAAACGAAACACCTTGTGACTAACATTCTTTTAACTAGTCACATATCCTTATGTTATAATCAGGTATAGAATTTTATTGGTGATGTATTGTAATTATACAGTATTTCATTGTCTCTCTTCAAAATTACATTTGCATGCTTGCTGTCCTACTCACTAGGACTTTTCAAAGGTGATCCCTTGCTCATGCATAAGTCTTCCTTATACCCTAGAATGAAAATATCCTGAGGTTGGAGAATTTTATTTTTTAAAATAACTATTTACTTTTATTATCTTCTTATAGGTTCTGGCTTTTAATAATCATAGCTTAACTGTAATTAGTCTACCCTTTTCATTTTAAATATCATTCTTATTGATAGAAAGACTTGAAAGACTTAATGATATGCACTAAAATATCTACTTTGTGCCAGGAATTGTTTTAGGAATATGGGATATTTGAGTGAACAAAAGAGATAGAAATCCCTGCCTTTGTGGAGTTACGTTGTGAAGGGGGAGGCAGACCATATGTAATGCCATACTCGTATCTTATACGGAATGTTAGATTATGTGGAATGTTCGACTTTGTAAAATGCTAGAAGTTGGTCCACATTAGGAGGAGGTAAAAAGGCAGAATTGAAGAATCAGGATTCTTAGGGGGAATTAGATTAAAATCAAGCTCAATTCTAGTTTTGTTTTCTCTATAATCTGTCATTTGCTCTGGCCATGGTAATTTTATTCTTCCTTTGTTTAATAAAACATTCCTTTGAAAATATCTTTTTTTTTCTTTTCTCATGTTTTGTAAACCTTTTCTCATTGTATGTTTCCTAGAAAGTCTTGATGCTTAGAAAAACCTTTTAAAATTTATCTCTGGTCTTTGCTCCTAATTCCCTTCTTAAAATTTAGATCTCATCCAACAGTTACCTGTGCAGCAACATCTATGTGTGTATGTATATATGTATATATATAAATATATGTATTTATACCCTTTTTCTTCTTCATTGGAATTATTCTCAAGGCTGTTTTTTTGTTTCTTTAGTTGTATTCCTATCTGTAAAAAAAATTACAGTGTTGCAGGCTATATTATTTCTGAGTTTTCTGAAGTTTAGAAATATAGTTATATAAAATTAAGAGTATAGATCTATGCAGGACATTCTCGTTCATGTTATTGACTCTGAAAACAAATTGGTCACTTCCCTTTAAGGCTTTTGAAATGTCCAACTAAATTTCAAGTTATATATTTTTAAATCACATTAATTCTAAATAGAGAGTTTTATTTTGTGTACTTCCTTGTGAAGTTGACATTATCAGAAAGGCAAGTAAAAATTTGTTAAGATATTTTACTTGTCTCTGGATATAAATCAAGTAACTACAATTTTGTGTCCTTGCTATATCTGACTAGTATGTAATGCTATAATTACAGATTTAAAAAAGCAGCCTTCATCTGGCAAGGCAAATTGTAACTTTTCTTCCAACACAAATTTTACTACTCATGTTTTTCTCTTTCAATACTTATTTAACTTATTCATCCTTTACTTCTAAGGAAATGTCCATAGTACTTATTCCATCAATTTCTCTATCCATCATCCATCCATCCGCCCACCCATCTGTCCATCCATCCATCCACACATCTGTCCATCCATCCATCCTTCCATCCATCCATCTGTCCATCCATCCACACATCTGTCCATCCATCCATCCTTCCATCCATCCATCTGTCCATCCATCCATCCACACATCTGTCCATCCATCCATCCATCCATCCATCCATCCATCCATCCATCCGTCCACACATCTGTCCATCCATCCATCCATCCATCCATCCATCCAACAGCTATTTATTGAATGGCTACTATATGTTTGGCACTTTTGGCTGCTGGAGGCAGAGGAGGAACAAAGCATTCTATTAGCTTTTTTTGTGGAAAAGGGTTTTTGGAGCCTGTTCTTTACCTGTTGAGTAGCGGCCGATGCTCCTTCTTAGAATGTTCCTTGTGCACCTCACAGAAACTCAGACTCACACCTGGTGTATCATGCTGGTCTTGCTGCTTATTTCATCACCTGCCTCTTGAAACTTGCTTTAATTCTTCTTTTTCTCTTAAAGTTTTTTCTTTCTGGATTCCTGTTTCTTACTCTCTTTTCTACCTTGGAATGTACTGTTTCTTCTAATAAGCTCAGGACTAGAGAGAAGCTTCCTTTCACCCTCTCCTGCAGTAGGACCAGCTGGCATTTAGAATATTAACTATCTGGCTCTCACCACAGGCAAGAAGACTAACTAGCACAGAGCTCATGTGTCAGAGGGATAGATATTTATACAATGCCAGGTCTTTTATCCAAAGTTCTGTATTTAACATGAATTTATATGTATCCTCACCCCTCTCAAAAAGGAACAGCAAGAATTTTCAGTGCAGCCACAAGAAAATGCATTGCCAAACTGGAAGGCCATGAAGGTGATATTTCAAAGGTGAGTTACTTTCTCATTTGGAAAAGTGTATTTACTTTCAAAAAATAAAGAGCATGGCCTGGGTGCAGTGCCTCACATGTATAATCCCAGCACTTCCGGAGGGAGAGGTGAGAAGATTGGGTGAGACCAGGAGGTCAAGACCAGCCTGGGCAATATAGGGATACCCCACCTCTATAAAAAACAAACGAAATTAGCTGCACATGATGTTGTGTACCTGTAGTCCCACCTACTCTAGAGGCTGAGGCAGGAGGATTGCTTGAGCCCAGGAGGTCAAGGCTGCAGTGAGCTGTGATTACACCACCAAATTCCAGCCTGGGTGACTAAGCAAGACCTTATCTAAAAAAAAAAAAAAAAAAAAAAAAAAAAAAAAAAAAAAAAAAAAGAGCATGCTTAGTGTAAGTAGGTCTATTGGAACTGAAGTACTAAGGTTTGTTCAGTTGTCTCATTTTTTTCTAGAAATCACTTACCTAAAGACTTTAATTTTAACTGTGTCCTCAAACTTAGCATAATAAATGATTTTGAAAACCTCTTGAAAAGTATGGAGCAGCATTCTCCTCCACTGTCAGCAAAAGATTTAGTTAGCTGAAAATACTTACTACAGTAATTTAAGGAGTGTGTAAAGTGCTTTTCCTGGTTCCGGTAAACACATACATTTATGTTATGCAAAAAATATGCTGTGTAGCAAGTATCAAGTGCTCTGTAAATTAGAGCAATTGAGGAAGTAGTTCCTGAAAACATTTAACACCTAAAGTCTAAAATTATTCATTTTGGAACTACAAAGCTGTATCTTAGGATTTTGTATAAACTTCCCCCAAAAGATCATTCACGGAGCAGGCCTACCCAGTCAGCAGTCCGAAGTTTAGATGTGTCATCTGAACTTCGTAGAGAAGGCTAGGACTTGGTGGCTGTCACCTCCCACCTCAGCACAATCCCTTGGTTTCCTGTCTGAGATCAGATTTGTTCTTGCTTTATAAAACATCAGCTTGATGGCTTTAGGTTTCTGAAGGCTTCAGCTAGACCCTGGAACTCTCCCCCATGCTGTACCCTTGGCCTTCCTCCTCTGTGCCTACCGCTGGTGGTCATTGCCCTCTTGGTCAGTGGTGGTCTCCAGGGCACGCAGACCATGGTGTCTTCATAAGCTGGGAGGCTTATGGATGGCAGGAAGGGATGGAAAAGTGGGCTGTGGCAGGCGTGATGAGGAGGAAGCCCGGCCCATGTTTCTGAGTGTCTGGCTAGGTAGCTATTGATACGCCTGGGATGTCCCCTCCAGAAGTACATGTCTATTTTCACGAATGACTGAACATAAATAATTCTCTAGTGCTATTTTCTTAAATTTTATGCTTTTTAAGTGAATATATTACTTATTGAATTGACATCTGGTAAGGGCATTTCTATGGGGTGCAAAGCTAAAGTATTCACTCATTCAGCAAACACGTTTAGAGAGTGTTCTGTGTGCTGGGCATTGCACAGCCCCTGGTAACACAGTGATAAAAACAGATATGGCCCTGCCCTCCTCAAATCTTCAGTCATCGAGAAGATGGCCTGAATCACTATCTTCTGGTGATTAGAGAGAGATGTAAGCGTGATGCCCAAAGGAATGCAGGACTAACACGTTCCTTTGAGGGTCACTCAGATACCACTTGGCAGCACCTGGCACATGGGAGGCATAGAAGCATATTTATGGAAATGCTATATTTGGGGTGGCAGTAGATGAGAACATCCTTTCTTACAGGTTCTGACATTCACTTATTCTATGGCACAGATTAGAGAAGAATCTATGTGCTTTTTTTTTTTTTTTTTTTTTAATTCGAGATGGAATGTTGCTCTGTCATCCAGGCTGGAGTACAGTGGTGCGATCTCAGCTCATTGTGACCTCCACCTCCTGCGTTCAAGCACTTCTCCTGCCTCAGCCTCTGGAGTAGCTGTGACTGCAGGCACACACCACCGTGCCTGGCTAATTTTTGGATTTGTAGTAGGACGGGGTTTTATCATGTTGGCCAGGCTGGTCTTGAACTCCTGACCTGTATCTGCACCAGGGCCCTGCCTCTTCGCATGGAGAAGGGCATCGTGCATCTTTGGAAAGAAGCTGGGTGCAGAATATTCAAATTATAAGGATCCTTTGGTCTTTATTCTTACCAATGTGAGGAGTAGGCAATTAAATTTTCTCTCTGGATTTTAATTTCCATGTATTAGTCCCTGAAATATATTTTTTCCATCATGAAGAAATGGTTCTATGCAAGAATAAATACCAGACTAGGAAGGTGACATGTGCTTAGTAATGCTCTCTTTTTGCTGGTAAAAAATATGTTCAGAACCACTACACAAAGCTGTTATCAGTTTTCTTTCTCTTTTGCAGATTTCTTTCAACCCTCAAGGGAACCGTCTTCTAACCGGCAGCTCTGACAAAACAGCTAGAATCTGGGATGCTCAGACAGGCCAGTGCCTCCAGGTTCTTGAGGGGCACACAGATGAAATCTTTTCATGTGCTTTCAACTATAAAGGCAACATAGTCATTACAGGTATGGAAGACATCAACACCATAGATTTATTTTTTCTTGATTGGCTGTTAGAGTTCCCAAGCTTAATACTAAAAAGAGTTCATCCCCATCCCCTCCCTCTGTTCTGGAGTCACTAGCTCATCCTGGCCTGCCCTCATACTTTCATTATTTAACTTTAGTTTTATTAGGACCCGCAGGAGTAAGCTCTGCCATTGACTGTAGTAAGGCTTTGTGAACTTTGAATTTTGTTTGCTCTAGATAAGGTAACAGTTTGACAGCCTGCCTTACTGGTTACTAAATTTCCCCAGTTGTTGTCTGTCAATTGAATGGTTAACATTTAGTCAGCCAGGTTCATTGGCTCATGCTAACAATCTTGGTGCTTTGAAGAGGCTGAGGCAGAAAGAATGCTTGAGGCCGGCCTGGGCAACATAATGAGACTCTGTCTCTACAAAAAAATAGAGCATTAGCTGGGCATGGTGGCATGTACTTTTAGTCCCAGCTACTCAGGAGGCTGAGGCTGGAGGATCAGTTGAGCCAAGGAGTTGGAGGCTTCAGTGAGCTATGATCATGCCACTGCACTGCAGTCTGGGTGACAGAGTAAGACCCTGTCACAAGAAAAAAATTCCATTTCTGTCGGTCAGTGTTAGCAACCAAAACAAGTCAGGATCAAAATTCTCCCTAGTTGGCTTTACAGCCCATTAGAGATTTAGGCTTTGAGCAGAGTTGATTTCTTTCAGTTGTCCCCTGCTAAAGCACTAATGTTTGGGGGGAAAAGAACATTCTAATCTGATGATCTTCAAAATCTTTGTGATTATGATTTTCTAGTGTTAACTAAGATGTAGGTACTTGAAAAGCACTGGGAAAAGAAGCCATAGATTTTTATTGTGAACACAGTATCAAATCCTTCCTGTTGATGAGAAAAGAGGTGAGGGTCTGTGATGGAGGGCACAGGGCACTCCTGCAGGGAGTGAGAAAGAAGGAAGACCAGCCTTTCCTGGTCCAAATGGCCTTGTGTGAGGCTGGCTCTGCAGCACCTCTTCCCTTAACTAGTTTTCACAGAAGACCCCGGAGAGTTTAGGGAAAGAATACTGGTCGTTGTGCCTTGTTTTGGTGCTGGCACATAAATTCCTGAGTGCTTCTAAGATACTGCTGATTAACTTAGTGTGTCCCAAAGCACCAAGTGCTTAACCTTGGCTCACTAGACAACAGCGTATTAGAATGGCATGACGCTTCTGTCTTTCCATTGATAAAGCAATTACGTTATTTGAAAGAATCTACTATATTTTCTGAGTGGACCCATGTGTGATTAACTGCAGGTATTTTGTAGTGGGTTGTCAGGGGCTGGGTTTAGAATCACAAAGTAGATGGCAGAAAAGTAGCTGTCATGCTGTTTATGTTTTTTGAAATGTGAAGTGTCGTTTTGTGGGATATGGTTTTTTTTTTAATTAATTTTTTTTTAATGAATTATTGTCAGGTGGTCACTCAGCTCACCAACTGAGCTAACCGGCCACCTGATGGGATATGATTTTTATAGGCTTTCCTAGTTCCTAAGGCACTCACACTTCTTATACTGATGTTATGTGCCTAGTTCCTGAAGGTGAGAAAACCAGTAGTACCCACTGATGATGAGAAAAAAACTCCTAAAATTTTGAAATGTTCCAGAGTGATATGTCTTGCCTCCTCCTAGGCTTATCCCCCAAACCTGGAGATATTCAAAGTCAGGCCGGGCATGGTGACTCATGCCTGTAGTCCCAGCACTGTGGGAGGCCGAGGATTGTGCGTCACCTGAGGTCAGGAGTTCAAGACCAGCCTGACCAATATGGTGAAACCCCATCTCTACTAAAAATACAAAAATTAGCCGGGTGTGGTGGTGCACGCCTGTAGTCCCAGCTACTGGGGAGGCTGAAACAGGAGAATTGCTTGAACCTGGGAGGCAGAGGTTGCAGTGAGCTGAGATTGTGCCACTGCATTCCAGCCTGGGTGACAGAGTGAGACTCTGTCTCAAAAAAAAGTCACTGTACTTTCACTGGGTGGGGATGTTTGAGGGAAGGGCAAAGGGGATGACTAAGGTGGCTGCATTCTCAGGTTCTTTTTCATTCTAAGAAGCCATGAATCTTGCTAATGTGAGTGGAATGTGTACCTGCTTAATTTACAACTAGCTGGTATCATGAAAAACAAAATCACTACTTCAAAAATGCTTGAGCTGCTCAGAGACTGCAGCTAGCCACGGAGAACCTAGCCCATGTAACACATTGCTAATTACCAATAACCGGAAAATGTCAACTTGTAGAAAGGGAGAATGAGCTGGATGAAATGAAGAAAATATGACTCTGTGAAATCTGTTTTGTTAGGGAGCAAGGATAATACCTGTAGGATATGGCGTTGACTGAGGAAGCTGTCAGTGAGCAGCCTT